CCAACTGTTGACGGACGCACGGACGGACGATCATGCGATTCTACAAGCTGCATCTGACTATGTCAGATGAGCTAAAAAAGCATGCTTAATTTTCATTTGGAGGTTCAGAAGCCCCCCACCTAAAAGAAATTTAATATATATCTCCTCTCTATGCTTCAGGGGGAGGGGGATAAAAGCCTTTGTTTAGACAACTTTCTGTAAATTAAGAAAGACACATCAACACTTAAAATCAATCAATCCTAAAAAAAATGAAAAATAAATCATCAATTCTTAAATCAGCTTTTTTGCATTTCATTTCATATGTTGCATTGTACATTTCAATGAGAAGAATGTACATGTACTCCCTATTAATTTACAAAAAAATGAAACTAAAGAGAAACTGTGCTAATTACTTCCGTCAGGGGCTTGGCGGAGGTTATGTTTTCACCGGCGTGTGTTTGTTGGTTTGTGCGTGTACAGCCTAACTGAAAAAGTTATGGACGGATTGTCATAAAATTTTTCAGGATAGGTCAGAAATGGGCTAACTTAGAATTGATGACATTTTGGTGGTGATCCGGATCCAATTAATTAATTAATTAATTAATAAAATTTTCAGGATAGGTCAGAAATGGGGTAACTTAGAATTGAATACATTTTGGTGGTGATCCGGATCCAAGTAATTATTTAATTAATTAATTAATTAATTAATTTTTCCACTTAATTAATTAATTAATTAATAAAAATTTTCACAGTGAGAGAATTGAGCTGCCTTGGCGGAGGTCTGTGCTCTCCGAGTGCTTTAGTTAGATATGTTTTAATTTACAATACATAGTATACTTACATGACACTATATAATAATATTTAAAATGAAAGATTTCCGTTTGCCTAGTAAATACCAATTCATGCATCAATCACTACAGCAACCACAGACGTGAACACCAATTTGAACGCCTCTTGGTACAGTGAGATTTGCTAATGCTTTATTCGTTCAAACATTATGGTAAGTAATCAGCAAATAGAGATTTACCACCGACTTCCCGGTTTGCCTCCGACTCCTTCATTTTCAACACGTCTACATTGTTTTTGCCGAGAAGCATGAAACTGAAAAAAACATGACACTTGTATAAGTTGCTAGCTGCCCTTTTCAATGATAATGCAAGCAAATTACGGGAACTATCAATGGCAGATTTCACACTCAGGTTCCATAGCTCTGTTCACTCTCCATACTGTTTGTAGTATGGTGTTACGGTAATCATAATTAAGGTTGTCATTTGTATATAGTCTATTCTTGCAAATTCAATGCAGTAATTATTGCTACAGACGAACACAGCTTTCAAATTTGTGAATTAGGAGTTATATTGCAACTATTAAAACCAGTTTTAATTTATATTCAAGCACAAAAAATTTGACATTACACTATAAAATTGCCACATTACTGAATTATAAAGTTTGCCTACAATTTGTTTTAAGATTTTTTTTTGATAGATGCAGTACAATCAATACAATTAATGTCAATACCAAATTAGTTTTGATACTGGAGTAAATGCTAGAACTTACCCATCCAATAATTTCAAGTTCTGTTTTCTAACCGGCACTTGCCATCTCAGCATTTTACCATCAGAACTAACGCTAACAAGCTAGAAGGAAACACAACAGACAAAACGACTTAGAGAGCCGAAAGAAATCAATATAAATTCATACAACTGTTCTTTACGTTTTTGAGCAGTTCTTCTCTTCACAATAAGATCAAACGAGAAGTGTTTTATTCACTGCCTCACACTTTTCAGGTATTCTAGGCGATGCGTAAGATGTTGTAAATAGAACAGGACGTGATAAGCAAGCAGGGATAAAAATATGATGTTAAAATTGCCGATGGTTAAGTTTTTATTGGGAGTGTTCCAGGCTGAGGATATGCACATTTTGTATCGTACCTGCAAAGTCGATTGGAAAATGAATACTACATCATTTTCCTCGTGTGGAAGTTTCTGATGTTACCGTTAAATTAGTCTCATTTCTCCCCATATTCCTACACAATGATTTATAAAGCTTGCTTTAACAAGACATCGGAGGACTTCGCATGCATGTGTTTGGTCGCATTGCACTAACTAACAATGGACAAATGCAGGCTTTCCAGCAGTCCTTGACAACATTTTAAGGCTAATTTTAGGGAGAAATTAAGGTTTTTTTAGGGCTATTTTAGGAATTTTTAGGGATGAATCGAAACATTTTAGGGATAAAATAAGTCAATTACCTTTCATAAACATCAACGTGTCAACGTACAGATACAGTTCTATGTGGTATGTGTCCAGTCTACCAGCTATTCTATCCTCCAAGTCCTCGATACGACTGTACATCATCAAGTTTCATGCAAATTAGGCATGTCTTGTACATTCCAGCCAGGAACAGCGGTCGTATAATCAGACACTGAAGCTTAGGAATCACTGGAAGACTGAGAGTCACAATACTTACTTCTGTATAAAGATAACTAGAAAACATCCATTAGCAGGGTCTCCAACCCTATGAACTCCAAATGCGGGAATTTTCCCGCGGTGATCAGCTTAGTGGCGTATTCAAGAAATTGATGGGTGGGGGGTGAAATGTACCTTGGCTGCCGCAGGCAGGCAAGCGTGCCGTAGGCATGGCAGCGCTTGGGGGGGGGGTCTGGGGCATTCCCCCCAGATAATTTTGAAATATTTAAGCCATTTTCCTGGCAATCTGAGGGCCATACTGTGGGCCATATTCTCATGTCTGATAACACTATCTCAACCCTAGACTCAACCCTACAACCCTTGTCTAATTAGCATACAAACTACGCGACACCTTGCAGACAGCGTATAGGCTGTTCCATTTACCGTAGACATGCCAGATACAAAATGCCTAAAAAAAACAATGTGTCTAAGCGAACAATGCGACCAATCAGTGCAGATTTTGTACAGTGCAACTGAAATGATGAATATAACCTTGCCGCTGAAGAATGCGGAAATTAAACCTAGAAATCGTAACCATTCCGCAGAATGAGGAATGGTTGGAGACCGGCTGCATTAGACATAATTACAAACCAAAAGTTCATCATCTTATCAGCAAAAACTCCAAACATATCTGTGAATTTTTTTTTTTAATTTGAATAAAATTTTAGCCTTTTTTTAGGAATTGCATACATTTTTAACGTTTTTTTAGGAATTTTAGGGCGAGCTCAAAATTTTAGGAATTTTTAGGAATTTTAGGGCCGCTGGAAAGCCTGCAAATGTCGATGGTTGTGTTGTCCCCAAACTTGGAATCTTGCACAAACTTGGAATTTCAGCACATCCGCAGTTTGGGCAACCAATCTTGAGATTGGGCAAACAGAGGTAAACAGAGCTTGCACAAACATATGACTATTAGGATTTCAAATGTTATATCATAACTATAAGGTCGTATACCTTCTTTCCTTAATGTGTTTGGCACCTTTGTATAAATATTAAATGATTATAATAAACAAGTGCTGCAGAGCAACAGCGCTCACCTGACGACAGGTGTTCTGATGCTATACTCATTGGCAAACGAATGAAGAGCACCCTCCCATCACCGCGTTCGCGCTCAGAGCATATATGATCTTAGCTCTAGTAACTATAGCCCGCGTACGCGGGCTATAGTTACTAGAGCTAATATGATCTAGGATACTACTAATACAGATCTAAAATCTATGATAGCTAGGCTTTGCTATACCGGTAGTACAGTAATAAAGATACAGCTGTGTAACTTTAATCACAGGCACTTGGGAGTTGGGACAGAGTCAGTAAAAACTGAAAATAATATGAACGCACATTCACAAATCGTACCCCTCTGTTACAGTTCCACTGTTGCGACACTGTATATCAACTTTCCTTCATAAAAACCTATGTAAAAACTAACGCCGAATGCTCCCGCACTTGCCGCTGCGAGTGTGCTGTGCCGCTATGATAATAATATATATAGATATAACTCTATATATATTATTATCATAGCGGCACAGCACACTCGCCGCGGCGAGTGCGGGAGCGTTCGGCGTTAGTTTTTACATAGGTTTTTATGAAGGAAAGTTTATATACAGTGTCGCAACAGTGGAACTGTAACAGAGGGGTACGGTAGTAGGGCCTATTTGTGAATGTGTGTTCATATTATTTTCAGTTTTTACTGACTCTGTCCCAAGTGCCTGTGACTTTAATGACTTCGCAATATTAACATGTTATCATGGATATGCGTCGAGGGCGAGCGTAGTGGTGGTGGTAGGGGGAGAGTGGGGGGAGGGGGCTGGTGGAAAGGTCTCTAATAGCAAAAGCAGTTGCCGCGAGATGGCGCATGCAAGTGTCATCAATAATCAAAGATGGCATCACCCTACGTGCGTGATAACCTCACTGCTGAAATCAAAGTATATTCAGGCAGGCGAGAATTTCGCTCAGCTGTGAGTTAACACATCTGCATTGCAGGTTGCCAGGCAATAATTATGATTAGAATAGTGCCAGTTCACCCCCATGCATGCCTAATGGGCTGCCCCCATGTTTTTGCCTACACACGCGTATGGGGGTCCTCCCCCCAAAAATTTTGAAAATGTAGATCGCAGGAGATGGTATTTGATGCACGTTTGAGTACA